GCAGAGGACACAGCATTTAAGGCGCCACCTTGGAAAGGAAGACCAGAGGCCAGATCTTCCAGCAACATGGTCCTGGACTATCAGCCTCCAGAACCGTGAAAAAGAAATTTCTATTTTCCACAAGTTACTGGGTTTCAGGGATTCTGCTATGGAAACACCAGAAGAACTTAGATATAAGCACTGATCCCAGGAGTCATGGGTTATGTGATCGATGTCTCCATTAGCTACTATTATTTGCCCAATGGAGATAGAAAAGGAAAGGAGGAAATCAGTCCAGACATCATTGAGCAGAAGCTGTGGCGTCTCTTGTGCCAGGGCCCTGACTTGGGGAGTGGGCAGGTGTAAAGGGGCACAGACAGAAGCCATATCTACTGTAGGACTCAGTTCCCTGGAGCAAAGTGGGGTACCAGCCGGGCAAAGCAGACGCTGCTGTGGTTGGGAAGCTGCCCATGGGTGTCGCATTAATCTAATCGGGATGAGATTGGGATCTTTGCAAAATGTATGAGATCTCTCATAAAATCCGCCTTCCTTTAGTGAGAAAGCACCGCACCGTGTCCACCCTGCTCACTGCAAGGAAGGGCCACTGCGCAGCTGTTCCCAGGGAGCGGGGTGGTCAGGGGTTCATGACATGCTGCGGTGAAGAGTGCAGCACCTTTCCTGCGCCCAGGGCAGACATGTGCAAGCAGAGGAAGTGGATGAAGACGGAAGATCCCTCTCCAGTGGGTGCTGGCCTCAGCCCTCCCGAGCAGTCCAGGGGTGAGAAGCAGGTTCCTTAAAATCTGAGAAGTTGCTTGAAGCGCACTGCCTGTGGGGACACCATGCCTTCTGAGGCAGACGGAAAAGGCAGCATCAAAACCAGACATCAAGAGAAAGGCAGCCTCTTCCCAAGCCTCGCGCTTGCATTTCTGTGGCTCCCAGAGACCCTTGCGTTTGCTTCTCTGAAAATCACTTTTTGTTTCCGAACTAAAGCCAGCTTGTTTTTCAAAGCAGAAACAACAAATTCTTCTGTTTATGTGAAACTCTAGCAGACAGGTCCTGGCCTGATCAGGACCTCGATGGGGTAGCAAAGAAAACAGATCCTAAGTGGAGTTGGTTATGCTGGTTAGAGAAAAGGCACAGGAAACCTGGGGAAGAGACACACAGAAACTTTATGATGTCAAGAAAGACTAAAACTCTAGGATTAAACAGGGTGCTTCTAAATGTTAAGCATTCTGACGCCTAAACTCCTCTGCTGTGTGCCTGTCATAATTTTCAAGGCCTGGATTGCAAATACTTTCCTGGGCAAAGAGCTTATGGCTACCCAAGACAGCTCCAACAATCGGAAGCTGTTGCTGCATTAGGCAAACATCAGAATATCTGGTGTAGCCAATCTTCAGTTCGTTTTTTGCATACATTTAGTTCCACGTGGAACAAATCAGGAATTTGTAATTTGGCTAAATGTAAATGAACAAGTTTATTCCACCTTCCGGAATCTCAGCTTTTTCTTCTGTAAGAGGCAGTGACAATGTATCTGCTTCATAGACCTGCTGGGAAAACTGACTACCCATATGTAGAAGAATGAAAGTAGATCCCTCTCACCCTGCACCAAAGTCCACTCAAGGTGGCTCAAAGACCTAGGAATCAGACCAGAAACTGCAACTGCTAGAAGAAAACATAGAATCCACACTAACCACATATCCATATGGGCACCGAATTCCTTAACAAAACTCCTAAAGTGCTAGAAATAAAACCATGAATCAATAAGTGAAATGGCAGCAAATTAAAAATCTTTTCACAGCGAAGAAAACGATTAAAAGGATGAAGAGAGTATACAGAATGGGAGGCCATTTTTGCCAGTTACTCTTTCAACAAAGGACTAGAATATGTAAAGAACTCAAAACAATTAACACACACACTCTCACAATTACACAGTCAATAAAGGGCAAATGAACTAAACATATATTTATCATAAAAAAACGAAATATATGTGCTGAGCTTGAGGCTCAGTGGTAGAGCGCTCTCCTGGCACACGTGAGGCACTGGGTTCGATTCTTAGCACCATATAAAAATGAAATAAAGATATTGTGTCCACCTACAACTAAAAAATAAATATTTTTTTAAAAAAGAAGAAATATAAATAGCAAAAAAATGTATGAAAAAAGGTCCAATATCCTTAGCAATCAAGGAAGTGCAAATCAAAACTACATTGATATTTTGTCTCACTCCAATTAGAAAGGCAATCATCTAGAATATAAAAACAAAAAATGCTGGTGAGGACGTGGGGAAATGGTACACTCACACATTGTTGGTGGAACTGTGAATTAGTACTACCGTGTTTTGGAAAGCAGTATGGAGATTCCTCAAAAGACTAATGATGGAGCCACCATATGATCAGCTATCCTCTCCTTGGTATTTATTCAAAGGAGCTAAAATCACATGCATAACAATGATTATAGCAGCATGATTAGCCAATTTATGGAAACAGCATAGGTGCCTGTCAACAGATGAATAGATAAAGAAAATGTATATGCACACAGTGGGGTTTTACTCAGCCATAAAGAATAAAATTAAGTCATTTGCTGGTAAATGGATAAAACTGAAGAACATCATGCTAAGTGAAATAAGAATGTCTCAGAAAGTCAAGGGTTGAATAGTTTCTCTCATATGCAGAAGCTAGAGAAAAATAGGGGGAAAGGAGGGGATCTCTTGAAAATAAAAGGAGAATAACAAAGGAAAGGGATTAAGGAGGAAGCAGAGATGGTAAAAGGAAAGACTTGTGAAATGAAATGGACCAAACTGTGGTGTATTTATGCATGAAGATATCACAATGAATTCTACTCTCATGTATAACTATAATGTATGAATTTTAAAAAATAAATAAATAAAAAGAAAAAAAAGATCAATAGAGAAGAAGAGGAATGGGGGGAGGGAAGAATTGGAGATTAAAATGGAGCAAATCCCTTGAATGCACTAATGAATGTGTCCAAATGAGCCCCACTATTATGTAAACTATAATGCACCAATAAAAGCATTTAGCAAAGAAACAAAATGATTAAAGGAGATATTCCATAGAAAGAATTTCACATCTGATTTGACACATTGTCCGGGTCTTGCTGAACCTTAGGATTTTCTTCAAGTACTATGCTCTAGATGACACTCATTCAAATAATTTTATCACACAGATCACATAGACTACCTTCAGGGATATAGGATTTTGTGTATTTATTTGTTTGTTTGTTTTACAGCATCTGAGGATGGAACTCTGGGACTTGTACACATGAGGCAAGTCATCTACACTGAGCCACATGCCCAGCCTGTGGATGCAATTTTAGGTGCCAATAAATTCAATTAGACTGATGCAACCTCGGTAAAGCTTCAGAAAGAATTTTCTGCTGGCCAGAGTATAGGCTGGCCACTGTGATTACAACAGAGATAAACAAGACTCTCTAGGTGTCCTGGAGAGGGTGGGAAAACTTGGGATGTAGTCAAGATTCTGCTCTAGGACGTAGTCTGTGATCCGGGATAAGAGGGCAGGATTCTCCAGTCACACTAAGTTGATTGTGTGCTTTAAATGTCCTCTACACCCCTCCAGTTCTCAAGGGATAGGACCTGCCTTGTTGCCAAGGAGGGTACAGAATAGACCCTGTGGGTATCAGGGTGGAGGATTGGGTAAAGGCAGACGGTGAAGAAAAAAGTAGCTAGAGACTAGAATTTAAGAGAGGTTGAAATAATTTCTTGAAATCAATTTAAACCTGTTCCTGAGCTCCCTTGGGCTTGGAAGCTCGGGTAAATTTCCATCTGTCAGGGTGGAGGAACCTTGATGCTCCCAGGTCAATGAGAGGACAGAGATTTTTGTTTTTATTCAAAAGCTGACTCTAGGAAACAGGTTCACTTCAGACAATTCTGCTTTCAATCTTGCAACCCCACTGCCTCTAAAGAGAGGGTGTCCCAAGGGCTTAAATCAAGGTGAGGAAAAACACAGCAGAATGAAGAAGAAAATAGAGTTGATATCCCTGTCAAGTGTTCTACAGCAGGGACACTGGCTCAGCCGGAGAACTGCTGGGCGGCTAGAGAACGAACGTGGGTCGTGGAGCTTCAAGAGTTGGGGGCTCATGGGCCCTGCACACCCAGAGTCTCTCTCTTCTTTTCTTCCTCTGATTGAGTCCTTCCTCACTGACTTGGGTTGGGGTGTGATGGAATTTTTGCACCTTACCTTTTTTATCATTACTTTTTTTCACTTGAGCTCTTCTGATCAGAAGCACATACCTACAGTAAATGCCACCACTGATTTCAAATCACAGGTTTTTTTCCCTCACTTTTGTGACACAGTGTGCTCTATTGTCATGAGCCCAGGAGCTCAAAGGTGTCTCACAGTCAGTCACTCCAGCCAAACTAACCCTGTGCAGATGAATGCAGGCCCTGGTGTCAGAAAGCACACCGGGCACAGAGGAACAGAATATCAGAATCTTGGGATTAATCATAGGTGTTGAACACTAGGAAAAAAAAAATCTGAAAGAGTAAATTTTTTTTTATACTTTTCTGTATTTCTCCAAACAAAATATTATTTTCCAAAAACCAAAGAAATGGTACATTCCTGGCACAACTCTAATCAAGATAATCACTGTGTTATCTCTGCAGAGAGATATGAAATTATATGGTAGTGTTGGGCCATCTTTGAGAATCTAGTTGTATCCATCAAAAGGAAAAGAGAATCCAGAGTTCTCAGGATATACTGGATTAGGAAATATAGACATAGTTTACTGGGTTCTGAGAGAAACTTTAATCACTAAATAGAATACTGTTATTATGGACATATTTAAATTATCAAATAGATGATGGAAGTTCCAAATGAGAGATCATATGAGATCATCCTGGAATTGAAAGGTTTGGGGAAGGAATGTGAGTGTTAATTTTACATAATTTTCCAAGCAGTCAGAAGCCAGTTTATCTGCAAGACTAAGGGGAATAGTGAGACCCTGAGTTTGTTGCTCTCCTTCATTTGACCTTTTCTTTGACCAAAGGATCTGGACCACAAGGGACTTGAAGATCCTTCCAGATCCAACACCTGCTGGGTGAAGGAGATATCAAGGATTCTACCTGGAAGAATGGGATCCTCTCCAGGGAAACGCCTGTGACCTGCATCTCTACTCAACCCGACTAGGGGGCAAGTCCCACTCAGGAGATTCCACAAGATTTTCATAAAAGAAATATTTGAAATCATCATTTCTAAGTCGTTCTGACACTTCAAAATTAGAGGCGATTTTGAAAAGTGACTCCAAAGTTTAAGTTTAAATATTTGATTAGATCAACCATGACCCAGAGCAAAGGGTCATGCACTGTTAGGACACCCAAGGTCCTGCTTCAAGACATGCAGGGTTCTCTGAAGCTGTGTGCAGATTTCCCATCCACCTGTTTGACTATATGCACAGGTGCAGGGAATGTTATATATATTATAAATATACATGATCCTTCCCACTCATGGGAAGAATGTCCATGGATTTTTGAAAGCAACCGAAAGTCTTTAAAATGCTTAGGAAGAACTACTGTATATATGGAAGGTAAAAACCATTGAACTCATGAGACCTATATTCCAGGTCAGTTTTTCCCCCTGAATACATCCATAATCTCAAATATAAAAACATGATGTCCTCTGAAAGAGGGGAACACTATCACTTTGAAGATTCAAATCATACTTATATTTCTTTTATCATTTTGAGATTAAATGGCATAAAGAAATGGACTTGTCCTTCCTTTTTCCTTTACAGATGAGGAAACTGTTAGTCTCTGAGCAAATAAGTGATTCACCCCTACCTTACCATCTGGGAGCTACTCATTAGAAAGTTGTGATAGTTCATGGTCTATAGCATGCCACACTGACAAAACACATAAGCACATCCTCTGATCTCTGGCTAATGAAATAAACCATGAAATAATAAAAAACTTACGTATTTTTAAAAAGGCAGAAATGATCATTTGTGATGGATCGGATTTTATACCTAGAGAAACCAACTGAAGGAAAAAACATTGCAGCGGCTGCCTCCCGCATGAGTGAGGAAGCTGACCTGAGCTCAGGAATTACGTCAGACCCCAGGTTTAGTGAACAGAAGCAGCTGTACTTGAAACCTAGGCTTTCCAACTGTGAGGACCCTGGCTGTTCAGTCCACAAAGGGTCTTTCATTAGACATCAATAAGAGATTTTTAGCAACGTATTATGGAATTTTAAATTGTTAGTTTTATAATGTGAATTGGGTTCACATTTTGTTTACCTTCTAAAATAATTTGTGTTACTTCCCCCTTTTAAGTTTTAAATAACTAATAACCCATGTACTAGAAATAAGCTCCTATGACCATTCTCAAGTTCTCTCTTTGTTATGGTCCTTTCCCTGTGTCCATTTTCTTCGGTCATATTCAGTTCTATGTGTATTGCAAAGAGCCCACATAGTGCAACCAGGGAATGTCCTGGAAATATGTGCATTTTTTTTTTTTGCTTTGTGTTTCTGGGTTTGTCATGGTATTGGGGGTACAGTGTCAACAACTACAGAGGCTCTGTCTTCAGTGACAATGGTGAGGAAGTGGGGCAAATAAACTGGCAACTAAACTTCACTGTGATAATTTAGCAGTTTATTTCTAGTACACTTTACTATGTATCATCTTCTTATAATATCAAACCATGTTTCTGAGGTATTGCTCTTCTAATTCCCAATATGCACTTGACATTTTCCTTTTATTGATTAAATTTGCTATCTGTCTAAAATTCAGTTCTTCAAGTTATTTTTTGAAATTCTATGAATTATCAACTCCTTAGTATATTTTACCTATTTTGTTTTCTTTCTACCATTTGACTTAGGGTTTTATTTGTTGCTGTGGTATTGGGTTGCTTTTTGACGTGCTTTCCTTTAACTATTTCCAATCAATGTGTTTTATTTTTGTAAATCATTGGCTGGTGCTAAAGAATAATTCATTTTTGGGCCCTTAGGCATTGGATTTGGAAAAGACAAAAAGCAAGAGAGGGGGTACTTGCTAGTTCATAATCATCTGATTCTCTGCTCATATCTTTGTAGGTAAAAATCTAAAGTGTGTTTAATCAGAGGTATTTGAAACCTGGAGTACTCTCTGGCTGGCATCAGCCACGGGGATTGGGTTCCAATTCTGACCCCACTCTGTGAGGGGAATGGCTTCGCACAAGTTGTCTGACCACCTCTGCTTTACTTTTTCCTTAAATGAAAAATGAGGTTTGTAAGACCATAAGTCAGAAATAAAAACTGACTCTGTGAACTCAGGCCGAGCACTCCACTATCTTCAAATCTGTTTCAGTGCCTCTGCCTCAGCGAGGTGGGAAATTCAACCCCAGTCTGTGTTGGCCCTTATCATCTGCCAGGTGTCCAGAGGTGTGGAGTGTAACGGGCACTTAAAGAAGAAAACAGGCCCTTGACCTTCAGGCCACCTTGGTTGCTGTGACATCCTCTCTCTCTCCACTGCTGTGGCTCCTGGAAGTCTGATGGCTTCGCTGCTGTCCAGTTCTGCCAGCACTTGGCTGAGCGCCATGCTCCATGACAGCTGCGTGGAACACGTGAATGGGAGGACCAGTGCTCTCCCCTCAGGGCAGCAGCCCCTCCTCTCCAGACTCAAGTGGCCTCTCCTCTTGATCCCCCTTTCCTCCCCTTTCCCTCCGTGCCCTCAGAGCTTCACATTTCCTTCTCCTTTTAGTCCACGGAGAGGGTTTCCAAGGAGCCTAGACCTAAAAAAAGTGAAACTGTGGTCTCAGAAATTCTGTTTTGATGCCAGAAAGAAATTCTTCAAGTCAAGGAATTGCTGATGGTCTTTCCACTGTTTGAATCAGGGTCAGGAGAAATGCAGAAAGAAGAAAGGTCCATGAAAACAGTTTAGTCATTTATCTTGGAACACATATGAGGATTTAACCCCTCAAAAGTATATGAAGAATCCTTTCCTCTCTTTAAAATTTTGGTTAACTTTGTAATGGATCTAGGTTCTCCCTTTGGAATATTAAAATGAATTGTGGCAGTGGTCATGCAGCAGTGGGAAGGTAGTCACCACGGCTGAGCTAGACATTATAAAATGTTTGAAGTGGAGAAGTGCATATTTTGCGTATTTTTCACAATAAAATAGTGGGTTATTCCTTAATCACACACAATATAAAACAGATGACTAAAATCCTCCAAATCCTATCTCAACCCACCTTTCCAAATATCTCTCCATTTTGCCCTTTGTATTTTCTGATTTTTACTGTGAAATTGTGGTATAAGAAATAACGTCAAAGTTTCAGTGACTAACCATAACTCATCTCTACTTCTTAGTCATAAAAAGTGCCGGTTGGTTCTGGATGACCTGACCCATCTTCTCATCCCAACTCAAAAAGAGGGAGTCTTCTCTGGAATACAGTATTCTCAAGGTGGAGGGCAGGAGGTGAGGAAGATGGACTTGGGGAACGTACGTCCTCTAAATTCATTGACCAAAGCATGTCCTGGGATGAAGCCCAACAACCTGTTGGCAGAGAAACACACTCCTCCATGGAGGCAGGAAGGGGAAGTGGTTATTTAGTGCAATAATACAACAATAAAATATCTGCAGTCTACACTTTTAATCAAAAATTCTTATTTCACTTCCTCTCCACTGACAAAATATGCAACAGTCTTATCTAAAAATGGTGTCAGGCTCAAGATCCATCTCCTGATTGTTTGCACAGTAGATCTGAAGATGGCTTCTCCTATCCAGAGACCCATAGACCAAGGCAACCTACCTAAAACACACTGGATGGAACAGGACAAGATAACACACTTGTTTGTAAGGTGGGGAGGGTGGAATAAGGCAGGACAGAGCAGTGGCCAGGCTGCAGCAATCTTGAAGCTCTCCTGGGCAGCACAGGGGCGGTCCCTGTCTGGTGGCCAGGAAAGACCTTAGATTAGCTGCCATCCCGTCTCTGTCTCTCTGCTGTCATTCCTCAGTACATTGTTCTTCTAACCCCAGAGTTCAAACTTTTAGAAATCTCTTTCTTTTCATGATTTTCTTTTTAAAAATCTTAATTGGCAGGTCAAAGTTGTGACATTGGGGATGGAGTTGTGGCTCAGTTGTAGAGCACTTGCCTGGCATGTGTGTGAGTCCCTACTTGTGTGATACTCAGCACCGTATATAAATAAATAAATAAACAAACAGATTGATTGATTGATTGATTGAAAATCCATTGACAGCTAAAAAATATTTTTTAAAAAGTTGTGTACATTGATTGTGTGCCACATGCTGCTTTGAAATATGTGTGCATTGGAGGATGGTGAGTTGAGTAATGGCTAGAGGATTTCCCCCACACCTTTATCATCATTTTGTGATGAGAATACTTAAAACAAAGCTCTTCAGTGATTTCTAAGAACAACCCACATTGTTACTAGCTTGAATCTTCACACTGTGCCATAGATAACTAAGTGGAATGGTGTACAATTGGGTAATATCTGCCCACTGTGTCCCCACGGAGACCCTGGTGACCACCATTCTCCTCTCTACACCTGAGTCCAGCATTTTAAGATTCCACATATGGGGAGATCATGTGGTTAATTCATTTCACTTACCAAAGTCCCTTCCAAGTTCATCCGTGGGTGTTGCAAATGATGGACTTTCCTTCTGTACTGAGGCTGAAGAACATTCCATTGTAAGTACATACCACAGTCTCTTTATCCATTCTTCTGTGGTGATACTTGGGTTAGTTCCATAGTCTGGCTCTTAGGAACAATTCTGCAATGAGCACAGGAGAGTAGTCAGCTCTTCCACATATTGATTTAATTTTGTTTCTGTGACTAGAATTGCTAGATCACACAACAGTTCTCTTTAATTTTTTGAGGAACTTCCATCTTCTTTTCCTGATGGCTATACTAATTTACATTCCCACTAAGGGAGTGCAAGTTCCCCACGTCCTTTCTAATACTTGTTAATATTTTTCTCTTTTGGATAATAACCATTTTAGTAGGTGTAAAGTTTTGACCACATCTAAGGAGAACACTGGAGATGATGCTCTTCTTGGTCATGCACAGCTCTCTCCCCATTCGTCTTCACCATGGACCTCCTCCAAGATGCCCCTTAATGGTCTGACCTGGAATTGGTGGTGCCTTGGGTGGTTCTTTTCCACACTGGGTGACCAATGGTACATGCACTTTCCAGACCAATAGTATATTCACAAAGTGGCCTGAAAATAGTGTTTAAAACTATTTGAAGACGGGAGATTATGTTTACAACTTTTCTCTGAGAGATAGAAAAACAGATTACAAAATGAAATGCTCTGTGATTATAAATAGCTGACTCTGATGTTAGAATTAGGCTGATTTTATTTTCTCATATATGTATGTGATTTTTTTCCATCTTATACATAAAGTTACTTAACTGTTCTGTCAGAAACTATTTTTAAGTAAGTAATTTTAAGGAGTTCTTTCATGAATACTACAGGTGCAGAAGGATCCAGAAGTTGGGCATTGTTTGAAATGCATGTAGTGGTCTGCCTGTAATTCCCTTTTTGTCAAATATGTATGGCTTTAAAACCACTATTTTATGGTGTCCTCCCTGAGTTTTACCTGATCAGTGTATCAGGAATGCTGTTCATTAACCCAACACTAACTTCTGGTGAAAAAGTAATTGGACCATGTCACGTGATTCAAATTGAGGCCACCACTGTCAAGGCAGCACTGAGAGCTGAGTGCCATCCCTCTTGGGGGCACGGGATGTACTTTAAGAGCATGATTCCGCCTCATTAAACATAAGGCATGGATACCCAGGTGGTGAAACTGGCTTCCACACCCTCCAGGACAGCCGGCCAAGCAGCCTGGCAAGTGACACTCAGTACACAACACCCAGACTGGCTTGGCTGGGAGCCACCAGAGCTCCTTTGCAAGGCATGGGAAGCATCTGTCTCCCCACAGCTGAGCCTCCTCTACAAATTTAAGCAGCAGCAGTGGGTGGGCTAGCCCTGTCCTTGTGTGCAAGGCTTTGGTTGGCAATGTTCTGGGAATTCCCAAGTGCCGGGCCATAGCAGTTCTTTACTTCTCTGTGGTTCTTTCAAATCTCTATGTGCAGGTGGTCCTGGTCAGCCCAGGAAAGAGGCCACATGAGTAGGTTCTCTTGCATTCCAGCACTGACACTGAGGTGCAGCCAACACTTCTCACTAAACTGAGCCCCTCAGGAGGGAATGTCTGCCTTCCAGAGTGGGAGGCTGAGGATTCCCACAAAGGGCACCAAGTTATCAAGCTTGAATTCAGAACTGATCAAGATACAAGAAGCAAACAAGCAAACTGTAGGCAAAGAGGAGAACAAAGTGATACAGTCCTTAGTGAAGATCCTCTTGGGGAACAGGACTGACAGCTGGACCCCAGAATCAGCTAGAACTCCCAGCAGTCATAGGCCTTTCTAGAGCAGAGCAGTTCCCCTGAGCAGCGCAGATGTGGCTGTACCTAGAAGAACACACGGGAGTGCATGGTCCCTGAAGAAGCTCATCCCCGGAGAGAACAGGAGAGGGAGGAAGGGTGGAAACCCTCAGGCCACCCCAAGAAGGAACAGGCCCCAAATGCAGGGTTACTCTGGGGAACAGACCAAGTCAGTCTGCAGCAGCCTGCTGATGAGGGGAGAAGGGGCCAGGGAGCTGGGCCTGCCCTTTCTTTTTCCTCTAAACTCACCAGTGAGCTATGTCATTCCTGCTCACCAGGAGAAGAGACAGAGAGGGAGCAGAGAGGAGCCAGAGCATTAGACTCCTGGTGATTCTGGAGTG